TGCCTAAGTGTAGGGAAGTCTTTTCTTTTCTTTCCTTTTTATATAATTTTATATAATAAAAATTTATATATTATATAATTAATATATAAATGATATATGCGTGACTTTTTTCTTCATTCCTAGAAGTTGAACACAGAGCCTTGTATATGCTAGGCAAGTGATTTACCACTCAACTGCACTCCTAATTCAGGAAATCTTTTTTTATTTTGGTTTAGGCTTGATTAAAAGGGGAAGCTACAGAAATATTTAATTTTTTCATGTCCAGAATTAAATACTTCTGTAGCTTCCCCTTTTATTTGCTATTCATCCAACAGAAGAATCCAGAAGTCCAAATGTATGAAGGGCTATCATTTTACACATAGTACCAGTGCCTTAAAAACAAAGCTGCTTGTTTGATTTTGAAAATATTACCATTCTTCTGGTACTTTAAATTTTTATACAAAGGGATATTAAGCCAGGCGTGGTGCCTCACACCTGTAATCCCAGACCTGGGAGGCCAAAGCAGGAGAATTACTGTGACTTAGAGACCAGCCTAGATGACATAGTGAGTTCAAGTCCAGCCTGAACTACGTAGTGAGCCCCTGTCTCAACAAACTAAAAATGAAAACACCAAAACAAAAGAAAACATCAAGTGATATTAAAGATGATTTACATTATTTAGGTAAGAGATGGCAAGGGGTTATTTGAAACTATGAAATAGGAATCATATGGTATGAAGCATGGAAATGGAAATAGACATAAGAATGTAAGAAAGAATTTTCTCCAAAGAACTAAAGATCAGAAAGTAATGATATACTCGGAAATTTAGTGGACCTTTTGTAGCTTGTTTATTTTAATAAGCTTTCTTATTTTAATTTTGTTTTGAACCAGGGTCTCCCTATTTTAAACTGTTAGGCTTTCCCGGGATTTAGCTCAGTGGCACGGCACCTGCCCCGCAAGCACAAGGTCCTGAGTTCGATCTCCGGTACCAAAAAAAAAAACAACTGTTAGGCCTAAGTGAACTTCCTGCCTGAGCTTCCTGAGGAGGTGGGACTGCAGTCGCACACCACTGGCTTTTTTTTTTTTTTTTTTGTACCAGAGATCGAACTTGGGTCCTTGCGCTTGCGCAGCAGGCGGCGAAACCACTGAGCTAAATCCCCGGCCCCACCACTGGCTTTTTAATAACCTTTATTTTTTTAGAATAGTTTTAGGTTCCCAGCCAAATTGAGCTGAAGGTACAGAGATTTCTTTGTAAATACTCCCTGCTTCTACACATGCACAGCCTCTCCAATTATCAGCATCTCTCATCAAGTGAACCAAGTGAAGTTAAATTTTGAAAGAAATTTAACTTTGTTTTCAGTATGACTTTGTACAAAGAAGCTGTCAAGGAACTAGTAAAGATTCTGTGGTGAATAGATCTGAAATGGATAAGATGGATGTGGCTGTGGATGTAAAGCAGGCTTAGTATTTTATGTTTATTGGAAAAGAAATATTGTAAACGAGCTCAGTAAGTATAAGTCTCCTCAGCTAAGGTTTCAGTTATTTTAATGGTCTCCAGCATATTGTCACGATGACTCTTCAAAACTATGTTTCCTTTCATGGAAACATATGGATTCATGGATTCATGGCTCATTTCTTTAATTAGAAAAATAATATTATCATCACCATCCTCAAATTACATGAATTGAAAATCATATTTTAGGTGTCAGATGGACTAAGTTAAAAGAGAAAATGGAAGAGACTCTCCTCCACTGTGCTTGAGAAACATAATGTCAAAATTAAAGGGATGTTTCATAGCTCTTTTTTGTTTTGGTGGTGGTGGTCCTGGAACTTGAACCCAAGCCTTTCTCATTGAGGTACATCTCCAGCCCCCTTTTTATTTTTTTATTTTTCAGATAGGATTTTGCTATGTCACTAAGTTGCCCAGGCTTGGCTGGAACTTAGGTTCCTTCTGCCTCACCTTCCCAAAGGTTGGGATCACAGGTGTGCGCCACCATGCCTGGCTCAGATCAGTCTTAATTCAAATTTTTCATATGATTGAATAAATAATAAAACTATTTGTTTAATTTGATTTAAAAATGATTACAGCACTTTTTAAAACAGTAAATAAAATCATATTTTTCATAAGTAATCTCATAAGGAGAGAGGAATTTTTATTGATGATCACAGTGTCATTTTTGTTGTTATATTGCATATATACATTTTCTTTTAATTTTAATTTTTTTTTTTTTTTTGGTATGGGGGATCAAACTCAGATCCTTGCGCTTTCGAGGCAGGCAGTGGAACCACTGAGCTAAATCCCTGGCCCCTAATTTTAATTTTTATTAGTACATGTTTGCAGTACGTAAAGATTACATTCATTGTGGGTAGGTGGCACATGTACATAACTCATTTTAATTTTTTTTTAATACCCTTCCTCTCCCCTCCATCCATCTCTTCATCCCTTTCCCTTTTGCAAAAGATCTGCCTCCCTGTTTCCTATTAGCTATCTTTTATTTTGCTCTTTTTTTATTTTATTTTATTTTATTTTTGGTACTGGAGATCAAACT